GTGGGTAGGCTTAAAGGGGAATGTGAGGGAATTTGGGATGTGAAGCAGCAGCTGAGGGCTCTGAATTGTGGGCGGGTAGCCTGCCAACTTCCTGCATAATGCAGAGCCAGGATAGAAGTCATATGTCAATGCCATGGCTGGACATGATCTTTATTTGTCTTAGTTGTTGGAGGATCTTGGAGGCATGGTACAGGCAGATGATGTGCAAGCTTGCGCATGCCACCATTCCCCCCCCCCCCTCGGCCAGTACCCTCGTTTGGCCTCATACATAGCTCTGCCTAGCCCTTCAATCCTGAACTGCAACATTTCCCACAAGTAATGTAGATAATGGATTCAGGTTGCAATGCAAGGCAATGGATTCATAGGTTCAGGAGCTTTGATAGGACACGGGGACCCAATGGATGGAGCATGGGGGCCTTGATAGAGAAGTAACACACAAGTTGTGGATTGGAGCCCAGTGGAATGACTAGTCAGGGGGATGAGTGTAAAAGTTAGTGCTTGCTCTGCATGTGAGAGGTAGGACATGCCACCCTCCCTCCCACATTCTACCCTAAACCTTTCCCAACTTGGCCAATGGAGTGCCAATTAAGATGCTATGTCAAGGATTGTTGTGGTGGGGCTGGGGTTATACATAATTCAGCACTGCAAATACACATGTGCTGCAATACTTTCAGGGGACTGCAGAGATGACATGACGTGTGTGAAAGAGGAGATCTTTGGGCCTGTCATGTCCATCCTACCATTTGACACCGAGGAGGAGGTCCTGGAGAGAGCCAATAACACCACCTTTGGGCTGGCAGGTGGTGTCTTTACCAGGTACAGGTGGGGGGCAGTGTTCAGTCCTTTGAAATGGACTAGGGATAGGGGAAGAATGTTACCAAACTAGAACACCAAGTCTTAGTGGCAATTCTGCTTCAGAGATGCTCTCTTCTAACAGCCACAGAGAGCAGCAAGATGGCTCAGATCAAGAAAGAGCACTATTATTTATTTTTTGTATATAATCATAGCACGTAGGATTCCCAGTCATGGATCGGGACCCTATTGTTCTGGTGCTGTACAAAACCTGGAACAAAAAGTCCCTGCCTCTGTGTGCTGGACATGTAGTCTCTGCTGCTATTTGTATTCCAGGTAGGACAGGGGTCTCACTGTGCAGACATAGATTAGGAAATGGCTCCTTCCCTAGGAGTTTGTAGTGTAAAAGACTAACAAAATGCACCATGCTGGGAGTACAGAACTTGTAAATGATAGTTGGTGGTGGTTTTCCTTCCCCCCCGTTTCCCCTTTTCATAATAACTTGTCTCCAGCTGCCACTCAAACTCCTTCACAGCCCTGCCTGTCTTCCCTGCCACAGGAAGACACTGCCTCATTTTGGGACATGCACACACCAAGTGTCCAAAGGCAGCTCTTGCCTGCTTTCCCTTGTAGTGGTGGGGGACAAGATAGCCACTAGTGGCTAACAGCTCTAAATTAAGTGCCACCCTAGGTTTCCTGGCAATTAGCTGCTACATCCATTGGGCAGGCACAGATTGGGTGCCTCTCTCCTCAGGGTCAAAACCAGTGCCTGTGAACTAGATTCTCATGCACTTCTGCACAGCTCTGCTATTGGGCATGGGGGAGCAAAGGCAGCTAGTGGGACTTAATACCACTTGAGCTGTCTGCAGAGGGTTGGGGGACTGGTATGGAAGGGAAGGCTTGCACTAAATCTTGTCCTTCTCCCACAGGGATATCCAGCGGGCTCACAGGGTGGTTGCTGCTCTCCAGGCTGGAATATGCTTCATTAACAACTATAACGTCAGCCCTGTGGAGCTGCCCTTTGGAGGATACAAGATGTCAGGTGAGCAAGGCACCAGCTCTGAAAAACCTACTAGAGCTTCCCTTTTAAACCTCTCCAGCATATAGGAATCAATGTCCCTACTCCTGTGATAGCAGAATCAAGTGGTGTCATCCTAGGCTGAGACCCCAAAAACTGAGGCTGTCACATCTGTAGGAAGCCAAAAGCTGCTCAGCAGCTTGGTTGCTATTCTGAGCACTCGGGGCTGCAGTTAGAAACTAAAGGCGGGAGGTTGGTGAGGTGGCTGCAATGTTACACACCAAGAAAGCAAGGGAAGGGAAGTTACATCGCCTGCTATGGCTCCTAGTTCAGAGTTGACTCAGCTACTCAGTCTAGGGATAACTTGAAATGCCATATCAAGAAGCTAGTGCTGCTGGACTGCTGCCTGCAGGCAGGGTTGTCCTTCCCCAAAGGGCCAGAGGTGTGCATGGCTGAGTCTGACCACATGACTAGTGACAGAGCAATAACATAAGAAGGTGGGTGGCAATGACTGGCACTGCCATCTCACTCCTGAATATGGCGTCTGTTCCTTCCAGGGTTCGGCAGAGAGAATGGCCAGGCAGGAATTGAGTATTACTCACAGCTGAAAACCGTCTGTGTGGAGATGGGTGATGTGGAATCTGTGTTCTAATGGCATGGGCCTCACAGGAGAGCAACAGGCTGTCCCAGTCAGCCAGAGATTTCTACTAGAACTTCTAGATCGCAGTAACAAGTGCTCTGAATGTCCTGTGCCAATGGGGGAAGCTGGGGTGGGGCAGTGTGCTGCAATCCTTTGCATTTGTGAGGGGGGATGGGAGACAAACAGTTCGGGTTCGGGTTTGAGTTTGAGTGTCCCATTCTCCACAATCTGCCTAGGACTAAAATTGGATTAAGTGACCTTGATTCTTCACCAGCAACTGTTGCTACTGAAGTAAGTACCAGTAGACACAGCAGCTGTTTAGTGTAACAATTTCTAGTTAACTACTGGGTCATGCTCTGACAGCTCATTGTGCATGGAGAAAACCTACAGTGATGCCATAGTCTCTGTAGGCCTAGGTTTCCTTCATGCACACTATGCTGCATGAGAGCTTTGGTAGAAGCCTGCCTGACTTCTCCTAAACAGCAATGCCCTTATCCTAAGCTATTTCAGCATAGAGCGGGGTATTGGAACACTGTTTGGCCATCTCTATATGTGGGTGGTTGCTGACAGAGGCTTGGTTGGGTCTTTTTCCAAATATAGCTCATTGTGCAGTGAGGATAGCAGTATATAATAGCATCCACCTGCAGCTATGGAATAGTGCTAGTGCTCCACTCTAGAATCACCTAGGCGTAGTTGCTTGTGTAGTGAAAATTGTTGGTGCCTTGGGGGATAAACAATGAGGCAAGCTATTCTTTGTGTACACACGCACTTGGAGAAACTGTTTTATACTACTTGATTTTAGCAGTCAAATAAAAGTTCTGGAATACAGCCTTATCTGAAAGTTCTGTTTATGGAAGAATTGGAGCTGTAGCTTAAAGTGCTACCTGCCAGTGGGAGAAGACTGGTTTTTTAGAGAGGAGCTGCAACTCAAGCGTGGGGTAGAGGACTAGTGTGTGAGCAGGGACTAAGCCTCTAGCAGGCTCAAGCCATCCAGCCTGGAGTTTAGTAAAGCTAACTCTTGAGTCCCACCTACAGCAGAGCTACTGCCTAGATCACTCACTACATAAACGACTTAGAGGGCAACAGGATTTTTAAATCAAGTGTAGTATCAAAGGGGGTCTCAGAAGTGGAACTGATACAAGGGGTACAGAAAGGCACTGCCAAGTGCAAAACTGCCTCCTGTGGCTGTTTCAAGAGGTAGGTTTCTGCTACTCCAGAAAGGTGGTGATATACAATGCTCTTAGCATAGTGTTCAATTCTAGGACATCAGCAAGCTAGTATAACATTGGCAGCACTTCAGAGCAGACTGCACCCACCCTTAGAGGGACTGAGTGAGGAAGAATTAAAGAGCTGTGTATGGCTAGCTTAGCTAAACAGGAGTAGGTAAAGGGACGACTGCCACCAAGGAGGCATTCAGCATAAGGAACAAAGGGGTGAAATTAAGGATAACTGAAGTTTTGCCTGTTGTTCAAAAGCTAAGTACACAATACTGAGTTGTGTCCTGCTTAAGACAGAGGGAAACACCCAGCACTGCCTGTCCTAGATAATCCAGTACATCCTCCATCTCTGAAATCAAAGCACAGAGGGCCTTTCCAGCAGAGAAACTCCAAGGAGCAGCTGAAGGCTAGCAATATTATACCAAACAGGAGAAGCCTAGATACAAGGATGGAGCTAGTGCTTTTTCCCAGGGCACAGCTGCCTTAGCCCTCACCACCTCCTTCATCTGCATACCTTATTCAAAAGATGTAATTTAGAAGTTACCCTCATCTGCCTGAAATACAGACTGCAGGGTAAAACACAGACAAGGCCTCATTTGCAAAGACTGCAGCAGTGGTACCAAGGGAACAGCTCCTTCTCTGAGAAAAAGGATCACAGGATCCAAGGGGCTGGGTGAAGGGCAGGAAAAGCCACCCTTGAAGCAGAGGGGCTAGAATTTCCCACTTGAGCTGCTTTGTTCCTTTCCAGTGCTCTTAAATGCTATAATGCTGCTTTAACTGTAGTCAGCAAGATGAGATCATGGTGATAAGTGTCAGTGATCCTGCTTTTTATCTGGTTCCGTTAGCACTGCCTGCAGCAGAGGTCAAAGCCCAACCAGGAACCAAGAACTGGGTAGTGATGCTAGGCCAACACCATTGTGGGCACCAAGTGATGATTCTGTGCCTGCAGCTCATGATAGGGAAAGGAAGAAACATCTTCCTGGCTGGGACCTGGACACAACTCAACCTTTTCTACTCAGCCACCCAGAGGAGTCACTTGCTGTTGGAGATCAGATGCTTGGAGTGAGCATTCTGTCTGTATAGTCCTAGCACAGGGAGGGAGATGGACTAGGAGGCCCAGTTTGATCTCTCATGTGACAGGTCACCAGGCTAGGCCAATATTATACATAAGTTCCAGTTTACAGGACTTCTGTATATCCCAGGATGTATAGCACAGGCTTTTTTCCAACCCCCTCTCTATTATTGCCCAGGACTACTATAAAAAGCACTTTTACCCAAGATTTCAAGATGAAAACAATTAATTCCTTTGAATTTTAATTAGGAAAAAAACTAGTTTAAGTTGGAAATTAAGTTTTATTATCCAAAACATCCCCCCCCCCCAAAAAAAAACAAAAAAAACCAAACACTCTACACTTTGGAGATTCTCCAGAAAGCTGCGAAGGGGTATGGAGGCTGGCTACTCACTGGATACCCACTCAAGGTGCTGGAAGGCTGAGTACAAAGTGTTCCCCACCAATCCGAGGAGTGCAGCTGAACCAATGGCCCCTCGGTTTCGCTTTCTGGGATCTGTAGAAAGAGATGAAAGAGCACAAAGACTTAGCTAGCTCAGCAACACCATCCTGTGCCATGCTTCTCAGCACTAGCCCATGCTACAAGGAGGTTTAATACACGTTTAACAAGGTAGCACTTGGGGAAATGGGGGTGCAGGTCAGGGCTCACCTTGCTGCAGAAAAACTGCATTCTCAGCTGCCCAGTTAGTTCATTTTTGAAAGGGAAGCCAAAAAGCTTTTATGGAACATGGACATTTAAAAGCAAGACTGTTGCAGGCTGAAACCTCTATGCTCAGCTCTACGGATCCCCTAAGGTCTAAATCCTGAATTTAGGATTCCAAGCATCCCCTGCTCCAATTGGTGTAACTGACACTCCGTGGAGCTGCATCATCAGTTACCTACAGGTGTAACAGAACTTGGCAGGTAAATGGATGAGGGAATGACGTTCACATACAGATTTAGGCTGTATTTCCCACCTGAATCTGCAGTCTGTCACTGCTGTGGAGGCTTGTAACTTTTGTATTTAGTTTTACACAAATGTTTTGCCATTCTTTAACCCTATCACTTTACGACATGCCACTCAAGCCAGTTGCCCGAAGACCGATTGGGTTCCAGGGCTAGATTGCCAGGCTGTAGCACTCCACACAGAATACCCCAGAGTGAATAACTACTTTGGAGAAAGTGAGCAGCAAATGAGCAACAGGGAATTTTAGCTCTTCTGCTTCCTGAATGTTGTCCTACAGATGGAGATTTAAAGGACTGTTGTCCTTCTGCTGTTCAGTACTTGCACTGCTTTTTGGGGAATAATAGGAAAGAATCATCTGTTTTCCCTATCATCATCCAAGTATTTATAGAAGCACCAGCACCATATTAGCTAGGTGCTAGAGACAATTAAATAGTACAGATTTGGTCCAGAAGAGCATGCCTGTCATGGATTGGGGGAAGAAGAGATAGTTGGTCAGGACTAAAAGGACTTGCTCTTTAAGTCAAAGAATGCCACTTGTGTGTGGTGGGAGAAGGTATCAACACACACAAATCAGTCTGTCCTTTCTCACTGTGGACAGAGTTTCTTTTCTTAGGAAGGGGGAACATGTGCTGCAGTTCTAATTAGCATACTGTACCTTTGAGACTAATCTGCTTTCGCAAACTCGGAGAAGTGAACAAGGGACTGGGAACTATAGTTCAGTCTCAGGGTGGAGCAATAGATACTGTGGCACTGGGGGTAGCCATATTTAGCTCATCCTATCCCCAGAATAGAGCTCCTTATACAGAAGGACAAGCGCATGCAGACTGTACAATGCCAAGTCTTTGCTGTCACCTCAATATGTGGGGCAAAGGCACTAGCCTCCTTTCAGTGGTACAGGAAGCCTTATTCATGCCCCCACCACCCTGCCTCACAGGGCAGCCTTCCACTAAAGAGGCCAGATGGTCAACACTGGAGACTCCAGGTCTCAACTGGGGCTCATCCTTTGTCAGTCTAAAGACTCACCTCCTGTGTAATAGCCATAGGCATAGAGGACTCTCCCAATGATCCAGGTGATGCCAAGCCCAACAGCGACACGCTAGAGAAAAGCAGGAAAGGTTAAGGATTTCGGAGCTGAGAAAAACTTACCATGCTCCTTTAGCCACGCAAATAAGCACTCTGCTTTATAAACACTGGCTATCAACATGGTAAGAAGTCAGTGTAGAAAAGGAATCTGCGTCTCTAATAATTCCCTCGTTAAGCTGTGGAGTCCTCACCCAGTCAGCAGCACCAGAAATCAGTGTCCCAGAGGAGCGCAGTGTGGCAATGCCATGAAATACTGCATGTGGTGTGTATCAGTGTCACATACACCCCCCGTCTTCCCCCCCCAACACAGATGTCACACTATGTCTTAGAATTGATCCTGGTGTCATCAGTCTGTGGCATGTGCCCTCCTTCCTGTCCACCTCCCAACATCCCCAGTGACCAGCCAGACCTATGGCCACTAGTATAGAGTAGCCCTAATTTACCAGATGCTGATTAACCAAACTCTTCCATCCACCAACTGTTTTCTTCACTCCAGATCTTTCCCCTCATTCAGTGTCCTAAGCACAGTGGAGAGAGCACTACCTGGTGCAAACTTGACAGCATTAAAGGGACTATGGTAATTAGAAATGCCTAGTCCCTACAGTCACAAGTTGTTGTCTGCTCCAGGCTTGAGCCACCAGGTATGTTGAATAAAACCAACCAGTTTTTGTAAGCTTGTTTTTTGCCACTTTCTGGAGTGGACCAGAGATAGGAACCGAGCAGAAGTTATCCCTCGCTCTTACGTTGCAAGAAATCTCAGCAAGTACAAACACACAGGAGTGGCACTTCCCCATTTGCAGACACTGCAAATTTCCACCTAACAGCTTAGTTCCTGTTTCTCAGGCTGCGGTTCCAGTTTGCCAGACTAGGACCTCAGTTGAACCTGCCAGTGCTGCTGCCTCCAGTCCCTCCGCACCAGCGCTTGGCAAAGGACGGCAGTTGGTTTTTGCAAAAAGTTTCAAATCTTGGTAAGTTTTTCATGAAAGTCGTCTGGATTTTGGAAGAAAAACCCAAACCTGAACATTCTTTATTTCTTGTCCCCAGCCCTTTTTGCTAGCGGCAGAGAGAAAAAAAAAACAAAACAAAACGTTTTTGGTTTCTCAATGGAAATTTTTCCATGGAGATTTTCATTTAGATAAAGGCTTTAAAAAAAAATATTTTTTTGACAGAAGAGTTTTGACCAGCGATCCTGCGCATGCTGCAGTGCGCCATGAAGACTGGAGGGGCCTGAGCCTCACTAGGGGTTACAATGCACCCAAGCAAGCAGGAGGCAGCAGCAGCTCCAGTTGGCCCAGCACAGGTACATGGTTCAAGTTGGGAGGCAGCAGTCTACTGTAGGATGGACTACACAGATCAGGAACTTGTCTTACAGAACACTCTCTCTCAGCTGTGCAAGGTGATTGATGGCTCCCACCAGCACCTCCTGAGCAAGTACAATGCACAATGGGGCTAGAGTGGAGCATGCTAAAGATTGATCAGGCAGACTTTGCCTCCTTGGGAGATCTTAGCACATTCTCCTGCAGCCAACAGGAAGGCAGGGGAGAGTAGGAACAGTCTCTAATCCAATCATTTCAAATCTGGCTAGGGACATGACTCACCGGGTGATAGACTCCGCCCATGGCTAGAAAGAACAGGAAGGAGGGATAAACTTCCAATCTGAAAATAGAAGACAAAGATTTGCACTTATGACTAAACTCTAAGAGGTTTTTTGTTTTGGTTGTTTTTAAAAAGATCTTTGTGGATATCTAGACGATCAATCCCTGCCCATCCCACCTTCCCCCACACTTCTTAGAATTGGGCACCATATTTTAGGGAACACCCTCAGGCTGTATAGAGACCTAGAGCAAGGGACTGGACTACTCAGAAGAGGCCTCCAAGTCCAGCTTTTAGCTGCCTCTGCAAGAATGCTGTGACAACCATAGTGGTGTCTACACACACAGTGTGCAGTAATGGATGCACAAACCCTTGGGAATCCTGAAGATCCCAGAGCCACTGCCCAGGATCAGCAGCGTATTTGCTTACAAGGCCTGAAGTTCCCTTTTAAAGTCATTGCCAAATGCTAAGCCACTGTTTACTAGCTGGGGAATGGGAACACACCAGCCATGCTCCGTTTGAGAGCCAGGTCTCTCTGGGCTGGTGAATTCATTCTCTGGGAGAGTCAGGCACTCATCAGGCACCTGAACAAATGAGACCTCACTGGTAACACAGCTTCCTGGGCCTTAGGATCTGTCCACATGGGCAAACTGCCAGGGCTGTGATATAACATGGTAGTCCCTGCCTAGGTGGGGCCAGACCGTGACTGGAATCGAACCCCTGGATGAGGGCTTGTCTCACCTACTAAGCATTACGCTGCAGCAGAGCCTTACATTTTCTCAGAGCCCAATCCAGACACAGACAAAGCGTTTAGCAGAAGCGAATGCTACACTCCAGGTGTCAGTGCTTAACTTAAATCTTCAAGTCAGCACTCAAGACTGTCCACGGTACTCACGTGTTCTGGTGTGCGCGCTGGATGCAGTTGAAGAGATGCCCATGTTCAGGGTCCGTGCTATACATGGTTGGATACTGTTAAAGACAACACAGTGTTAGCAAACACATGGAGCTCTGTGGCCCCTCACAACAGCGTCACTCGCCGCTTCCTGCGGGGGCTGTTATTTCCCAGAGCACTCACCCAGGGCGATCTGAATCTCAACTCTGCTTGTTTGGCAAGACCACCTGACTGCCTTGGGGGGTTTGGAGTCCAAGTTGTGTCATGTTGCCCTCCTTCAAGAATGAGCTGTAGGCTGCACTTCAAACTCCTGGGCGCATTGGCTGAACAGTGGCACGAAGTGAACCCTGGCCTCATGTCTCCGTGATCTTGCAAATGCCACTAGATGTGACACAAAATGGAGGATCCGTCCCCCCAGCGGCTACTTTAAAACCATCCTTTGGCTCTGGTCAGATAGAACTTCTGGGAGAGGACACTTGGCTGCTTCTCTCTATACCCCCTCCAAAAGGCAACGGGCAGCAGCAGCCAGGAGTTGGATAGACCCTCTCTGTGCAATCCCATCTGCTCTGTGGAGCCAGTCTGAAGGCTGGAATGGAGGCTAGAGCAAACACTCCTCCCTCCCGCCCGAAAAAATCCTGGACACCGTCTCATCTGGAGAGCTGGGCAGAACGTCGCAGGTGGGAATAAGGACTGGAGGCTCACTGCCTCCCCCATCTCCTCTGCACATCTGAGCCTCAAGCAGGAGCGGTCCCTCAGCTGCAGATACTTTCCTGAAACAAGCTGGGATTAGATCTCTGTGCACGCATTTGCTGTCTAGGTGGGAATTTAATCCGGGAGTGTCTACATTGGTTCTAATCCTGCCAAGCTCTCTCTTGCCATCTCCCAGCACTGAATTTATTGCTCATTGTTTCTACTCAGTCTACAACACATGGGCATGAATGGAGATTCTCACATGGAGCCCTGAGGATGGTCACGCCACATCACAAAGCTAGCCCATAACCTTAAACAGAGACTCTCAAGTTGTGTGAAGAAACCACCATCATGCATTGTCAGCAGGGGTGGAACCCAGAATCTGCAGTGTTGAGCCTTTCCCATTTGAACAAAAGGGGTAATTCCACTAGCTGGGAACGGCACTGAACTCTCCCTCTGTGGACCAGCCTTGAGAGGCGTGTAACACACTGAACGATGGGCTCCCCATACACAATACATCACAGCCGGCCTTTTATGTTCTGATCCAAGTACCCCTGAACACCCCATTCTATGCACTCACGTGTGGGGAAAGAGCAGCAGTGGTGCACATAAAACCCAGCAGCCAGATACTGCTGCAGCCTCGTACACACCCACTGACTGGCCCTCTCTTGGGGATGTTTGAGGGCTATACCATACAGCTCCTCCACCCTTTCTCAAGTTTCTAGAGTCACACCCTGGAGGAAATGCCCAAAGTGCCAAAGCTGCTTCCAAGCACAGTAGGCTCCACATGCCAACGTCCTGACTCACAGCGGCAGCTGTTAATAGTTCCCAGGGTGGATTCTGAGATGAAGTTTAGTTTACAAAGGGTCCTCTTTGCTATTGTTCCTCTTAAATATCTCCTTTGAATTTTATAAGCCCTTCTCCCTCTATTTTTAAATGCTCCTCTAAGATCATCTCACTTTCTTCTGCCCCAAATCCAAACTGGGTTTTTCCCAAAGGCAAGATCTACCCACCTAGTAGCAGGGAAAAGCATAAGTAGATAGGGCAGGGACGATATGGTTATTTGCTTGTCACAGGTCTCTTAAGTTTCTCTGTTTCAGACACCCTTCAACAGCCCCATTCAGTCCTAAGCAGCTGATCTGCCACACTGGTAGCTCCACAGATCTAGCTCTGGAGATCAGAGCACAGAAACACCAGCTCCCCACTCACACACACTCATGGAGGCATATTGCCAGGCTAAAAGGGTGGGGAAAACCTGTGTTTATGTGCGATGTTCTAAGTTTTAGAGTCCTGGAAAGTCTTGGGTTTTGCAGCTGCCTAGGTTGGAGGTGGGGGTGAATAGACGTAGAAGGTGCTGTAGCAGGAAGACAACAGCCTGTGCCTAAGGACAGAGGTTAGAACACCTCAGCAGAGCCAGTCCCATCATATCTCCCCCAGCCTGAACTCTCAGCCCATTGCTGCCAGGTCCTACATCTCACCTCTCCTGGGAAAGGAACAACGGTGCCTAACAGCAGCAGGAGATCTGGCACAGCGACCAAGAGGGGGGAAAGCCTTCAAATGCATCTGTGTGGGTACTGGAAGGAGACTGCTGCAACTGGGAGACAGAAGCAGAGACTGGAGCTGAGTCAATAACTCTCTTCCACTGATTTCAAATCTTAAGGGTAAGAATACCCACTGTGAGGGTTATTGCAAGCACCCCTCTAGGAGGATCGTACAAAGGATAAGAGAATAACTAGCACTGGTGGGGCATCATAGCTAGGGCTCTGGTCCAGGGAATAATGGGGAATCACTGCACAGTTCTGAACTACTTCACCTCACTATATTCTCCCATTTAGGACTGGGCTATACTAGAAAATTATATTGACCCAACTATGTTACTCAAGTGTTTGAAAAATCCACACGCCTGAGCGACGTAGTTAGGATGACTTATGTCCCTGTGTAGACAGCACTAGGTCAATGGAAGAATTCTTCTGTTGACCTAGCTGCCACCTCTCGGGGAGGTGGATTATCTATGCTGATGGGAGAACCCCTCTCATTGGCATAGGCAGTGGCTACAGTGAAGTGCTGCAGCTGTACCGCTACAGTGTTTGAAGTGTAGACAACCCACAAAGTCAGCGATAATGTGACTACTGCTACCTTGGCCAACACACTGGAGACTGAACCAGGGACTCCACAGCTATAAGCATGAGACTCTACAGCTTGAGGTGAAGAACCAGGCTCTCCAACTAAGAACTGTAACAGACCCACAGACAGGGATGTATATGTAATACACGCACAGTGACTAGTGGGTTACAACATTTGCTGAGTGGACCACCACCACGGATATGCTCCTCTGCAGAGAGCTCCTAGGATATGGTGAGGCACAAGGCTAAGAGCCAAACACTGGAGAAGTGCAGTATTCTCATGATATCCCCCTGTGATGTTCCTTATGTACGAGGATCTAGACAAAACCAGATTCCCGTTCACCAAACAACTCACACAGAATGGGAACTAGTCCACGAAGTCTTGTGTTTCCCCTAATTACCAGTGCTTCTGTCATACTAAGCCAGCTAATGAGATGCCTGGGCCTCTCTCCTTCAAGATAGCCAGTAGAGGCATTCTTGGTGCCTCAAGGGCAGGACCACCTGCGCTACCCACTCACCTCCACCTTGTACTTCTTGCGTGCCTTCGCCACATTCACAGCGAGGTGCGTTATCATGATAAAGCCGGCAACACCGGTCAGGACCACATAGCCGTATTCCTTGGAGAGAACGACCATCTTGACACTGTTGAGAGAGGAGCATTTGGTTACAATCTCAGGACAGGACTGAGAATCTACAAGAGACTATTAACCCCCATTGGTATAAAAAGTCGGATTTACTGAACACTGACCAACGTCCTTCCGGCATGGGGACCTGGGTGCCTGAGGGAAGTGACAAATTATGGAGTTTTCACCTCTAGGCTGCTTGCTGAAATTCAGCCCAAGCAGTTAAGTACAGTACTATGTGTAATGAGTCAGGGTCTCTACGTCCAGTTCATATTAGGCAAGTATGTACAGCATAACCTTCACCATCATAACTGTGTCTCCTCACTGGCACTTTCAGTAGAAGGGCCACAGATGGATTGGGCCCCGGAGTCAGAGTGCCCCGTAAGTGGTTCTTTAGATCAAGACGAGGCAACCTTGGGTGGTGCATGCAAGGAGACAATGGGTAGAAGCTTGCCTCAGTACCTGTGCCTGGTCTGTGACTGTGGTCTGGTATACACTTCAGTTATATCAGCAGAACCTTTTAACTGAAAAAGTTATACTTGTAAAAGCTCTAGTGTGGATTCAGTTATACTAGTATAAAGGTGACGTATTGGTATCATCACCTCCCTTCCCATACAGGAATAGCTATACCGCTATAGCATGGAGCGTGGTTGTTCTGCTTTAACTGTACTGGTATAGTTAGAGCAGTACAACTTTTAGGGTAGACAAGACCAGTGATAGACCCCTCAAGAGAGAGCTGGCCTATCTGACACATTTTCAATAGCACTAAATTCACTTAATTGTTTAGAATAAGTCTTAATAGCAAATATGTAAATTCTACTGTTGCAACTGTCCCAAATTCTAGATTAGGGCCCTTATCCTCCTTCTACTGAAGTCAATGTCAGGACTATTGACTTAAATGGGACGGTGTCACGCCAGAGGACAACAGATACTAGTGACCTGAGTGGGGAGATGTTACAGGAGGTTTAACCCTAGACATAAAGCACTGCAGACTGCCTTCCAGAAGCCCTTTCATCCGAACCCTAGCTGTGGCCAAATGATCACTGACACTGCACACAGTGTGGGGGTAGTGGGAGGCAGAGCAAAGTTGACAAATGTACCAATGTGAGTGAAAAGTGGAAACCATACTTCAGCCCAGCTAGCCACTGGTAAGCTGAGTAATGTTCTTCCTCCCAGCAGCTAGAGAACAGTGCCAGAGAGCGGGCTCAGATTCACAAGCACACAGCAAGTCTCCAGAAGCATCTAGTCTCTGGTATTTACCAATAGTTGCACATGCAGCTCCACTGGCTATCAGAAGATGGCCTTGCAGAGCTGTTATACATAAACCATGTCTCCTGATACCAAACCCCTAGCCCTGCAAATGAGCTTTCCCAGTCAAGTTGCCTCTCTCCACCACTTGAACAAGGTTCTCTCCATTTTACAGGGTCAAGTCAAACCTAACTGATCCTTTCCATCTGGTGACTCCACTGGGCAGTGAGACCTCCTATCCTTCACTGACACAGAACCAGAGCAGTCCTGGAAGAACATGTTACCTTAGGAAACTGGCACCTGCAGCCTACCATGGCAATGCTGCCAGCACTCATGAGCAATGGAACAGAAATTCATAAGGGAGCAGGTTTAGTTTCACACTTACAAGGATAATTATAAACAGCATGGAAAGGAATGAGGTTATCAAGGACAATGGCGTAGACTTTGCACATGAAAACTTGCAGGTACTTAGTTATTTTAGGTTTCAGAGTAGCAGCCGTGTTAGTCTGTATTTGCAAAAAGAACAGGAGGACTTGTGGCACCTTTAGAGACTAACACATTTATTTGAGCATAAGCTTTCGTGAGCTACAGCTCACTTCATCGGATGCATTCAGTCTGATAGCCAGTCTGAATGCATCCGATGAAGTGAGCTGTAGCTCACGAAAGCTTATGCTCAAATAAATGTGTTAGTCTCTAAAGGTGCCACAAGTCCTCCTGTTCTTTTTGTAGTTATTTTAAGCATTCATGAGAACACTGAAAATTAAAGCAGATTTAAGGCTGTGAGCACGAGCAGTACCCCTTGTTATAACGGTTACTACACTTCATTTAGACTATCGTAAATGATCAGCATTTCACAAACACAACAGGTCAGCAAACTGAGGGTCATTTTTTATTATAAGCTGAATTCATAACACCAACTGCCAGTGGTGATCAGGAGCAGCATTTTTCTGCTCAGATACTCAGGAGGGATACTGCCCTCCACCCACAGACTTCATCTCTGCCTGTCACCTGGATCACTGGCAGGGGCTACCCTGAGAATGTCTCACAGGTCGCTACTACTGCGGAACACAACAGCGCCACTGCATAAAGGCTTTCACCCACGGAAGCGGACACCCATGCTCCACCGAGGCTGCTTAGTCCGCAAGTGAAATTCGAGGCCTTATGATTAGTACTGAAAAGACTTGCCCTGCATAAGACCAGCCTGCCTGAATGACTACCTGTCCCAGAGGCTGCACGGCTGGAGCTGTGGAGTATAGGCAGAGCACTTCTGAAATGCCCTCTCCTTCCACAGGCACTGCACGTAGCACTCTTAGGGCTCGTCTACACGACCACGTGGGGTCAATCTAAGATACGCAACTTCAGCTACGTGAATAGCGTAGCTGAAATCGATGTACTTCGATCTATTTGCTGTGGTGTCTTTACTGCAGTAAGTCGACAGCTGACGCTCTCCCGTCAACTCCGCTTGCGCTCCTCATTCTGGTGGAGTACTGGAGTCAACAGGAGAGTACTCAATTTATTGCTTCTATACTAGATGCGCTAAATTCACCCCCCCGGATTGATTGCTGTCTGCCGATCCAGTGGGTAGTGTAGACAAGCCCTTAGAAGAGACTCCAGAGGCTTGTGTTAATTGAGGGGTGCTTTATTGGCTGTGTTGGAGGAGCCCTGCCCCCATTTTTGTACCAGCTTTGGCTCAGTGAAACACCCAGATAAGTTACTGCTTAAGAATATTGTTTAAAGGGGTGTCACCTCTCAAACCTGCTAGGATAATCTGGATCTTTCACCTTATCAGCTCCCTGCTATCGCAAGGACATTGGGCACAGGTGATGCCTCAGTTTCTCCTATTCTCTGCCCATTTCACACAACAGTTTAGTCTCCTGATGGACTGAAGTGCTTTGGTTTCACTATTGTTGTTGTGCTCAACACAGGGGTATTTGGATGTAGTTTAAGGCCTGTGATATTCAGGTCAGACTAAATGATTTAGTGGCCCCTTCTATGAAACCATGACCCACCATCTTGGGGCAGCATCCCTTCACGTTTCTGTAAAGTCAAAATTACCATCTCAATTTCAGCTCTGTACTAAGACTCATTCATACAGGGCCCTTCACTAGAAAGGGGTCAGAGTCCAACAATCAAATGCAGCACCCCAACTAAGGAACTGTTAAAACTTATATTGGAAGATTAAAGCCCTCTCAGCTTTCCAAATGGCTAACTAGATCATAGGACCTTGTGAAGCCAAACGACTCCCACTGAAACCAGTGGGACCATGTCTACGCTTGTGAATTTTACAGAAGAATTCCTGCTTGTTCCAACACTGGTTCAGCTGAACTGATGTTAAGCACCACCATAAGCCCTAGTGTAGAAAAGTTTGTGCTGTTTTTACCAGTGTAAAGCCTGCTGAATGGGTAAAAATGGGTCTGGTTGCAGGGGCCTCATGTTTACATTAACACCTCTTCAGCTGACCTGGTGGGATATATATTTTGTAAGGCTCCCCCTAGACAATGTTTCTGAATCTTTCCATTGACTTTGGTGGAAGTTGGTTGGGGCCCCATAGCTGGTTATTTGTATGATCCCACTTGCAAGTATTCAGACCAGAGGCTAACAGCATAATAAGTCTATAATATACTTTAAAATCATACCAGGAATGCACAAAGATTTATTTTTTAAGTTTGAATGGCATGGTCCAGGTAATTAGGTTTTATTAAAAAACACATACAACAGCATTCTGCACTGATTATCTCCAAACGCAGATTGGAAACAGAGAACAGAAATTGCTAGGAATAAAGGCATAACATCTCCACATTAGGATCAGTAGTAAGACACTGATGAGAACAGTTCACCAATACAGAGCAGTCTGGAACATCTGTAAACTAGGTGCAATCAAACAACATGCATTTTTATAGCCAAGTGCAAAAGCAGACATTTAAAAACAAAGCATGTAGGTAACACTTACAAGAAAGTACTGACTCTGAAGAGGACATGGAGATCATTGTAGCTACCAAACTGAGTATGAGCTCTTAGAGCAATAGGGTGGCTAAGAAGGGCTAAACTGATACCTGGATGTATAAACAAGGGGATATGCTGAATAGGAGCAGGGGGGTGATATTACGTCTGTATAGGACACTGGTGAGAACATTACTGGAATACTGTGTCCAGTTCTGGTGTCCACACTTTAAAAAAAAATGTTGGAAACTTGGAGACAGTGCAGAGAAGAGCTACAAAAATTTATGATTCTAGCTCTGGAGAACACTGAGAGATCGATTTAGCTTATCAAAGAGAAGGTTAAAAAGTAACTTGATCCTGTGCAGGGGTTTACAGCCCAGGAAGAAATCAGATACTAGAGAGCTCTTTACTCTAGCAGGCAGAGGCCCAGCGAGTTCCAATGACTGGAAGTTGAAGTTAGTACATTCAAATTGGAAATGAGATGCAACATTTCAAACAGTGAGGGTGTAAGTAAAGTGGTCATCAAGGGATTAACTGGGTTACTCAAAATATTATGGGTTGGAGCTATGCTCCACCCCTCCCTTACTTCCTATTTAGTGTGCCCCCTCCTGTTTGCATATAGTTGAATATAGCAGCACTCTTCCAGCCTGAAATGCTGTAAGTAAAATGTGTTTCTTTTGCACTGAGCAGTTACTTTACAGAAGAAGGTAATTAATCAGTGGAACATCTTACCAAGAGAAAGGGTAAATTCCTCTTCACTTTGAATCTTTAGGTCAAGACCAGATGTCCAAGAACATCTAGATAAATCCACGAGTTACTGGTCTCAATAAC